CAGATTCTAGAAGAATCTGCCACGTAATAGCTTGCGTAATCTTCAGCGTAATAGATATCTTTTTGATCGATCAGATGTATGTTGATCGATTATTACAGTCTTTTATCACAGTCCTGGCAGACTAATGATAGAATCTAGGTGTTAGCCAAGCACCCGGATTCTGCTAGAGATCAGCTGACTAGCTTATATCTCTAACAATAAGAACTAGTATAACACCTTTTCTTAATTAGCTTTTTACTACTATTAAGTTTATAATTTTAATAGAGTTAGAAAGGCTTATAATAAATTAACTATAAGGTGCTACTATATATGATTAAGTATAGGTAAAGGCTTTAAGTAACTAAACATTCTATTCTACTAAGAAGTGCTTTTATAGTATAGCTTATAGTTCTATATAAAGTGTTATATATTATTACTTATATCAGGCTAGTACTATTCTTATATAATAATCTTATAAGTCTTTTTTATTTAGGATATTTAGTTAGAAGAGATAAGTAAGCTACTTAGATCACTTCTATGCGTAATAGTTTAGAGTCTAGTACTTATATACGTCTACGTTATTAAAGTTGTTCTTCTTAGTTGATTATATAGTTACTTAGTAAGATAGCAACCTTACGCGTGCTAGAGAGCAATTGTCTTCCTTTTTATATAGCGGCTAGTACTTCTTAGTAGATAGTATTATCTTACGCTACTCATACTTAATATTCTTATACTAAAGCTAGAAGGTCGAAAAGTTAAAGTAGTATTTTTAATACTAAGAAGGTTTCTTAAGTCTATATAAGTAGTACTAGAACGTAGTTTAGCGTATAAGCTAGAACTAGTATTATAAATTTATAAGAGGAGGTATGCTTATTCTTTCTATCTTTAAGCATATCTTAATCTTAGTAAGATAGCGCGTTTACTTTTATATTATTTTTGCTAAGATAATAGCGTACCTTTATATTTAAGAAGTAAGCAAGCTCTAAGTTCTATTATACGTAACGTATGTGGCAAGCGAGCGCCGCAGGTAAGCGAGCGCCGCACCCCACCAAACCTGCGCACCTCTCCTATCTTAACGAACAATGGCTCAACGTAGCGCTACTTAATTAGCTTTAAATAAAGCAGATATTTAGCTTGCTATTTCTTCTATTAATCTCTATTAAACACAAAGTAATTGTCGCGCTGCTGCTGTCTATAACGTGTCTAAACGAACAATCCGCCGCTGACGCGCTAGTATACCTGCTTAACGCGATTGCCAGCCTAACTTAAAGAAGCTTACTAAGCTAGAAGAGGAGGTGATACTTAATTATATACTTGATCTAGATCTACGTGGA